ATGCACCTGTGAACAGAACGTGGGTGACCCATCGAGCCACCCCCTCCTTGCCTTCCTAGTGACCTGGATGAGGAGAAGGGGCCTCGGCAGGGGAAGCGCAGGCCGTAGCCCTTACGTGCAGCCCCGTCTGTCAGCGTTCCCACGACCCTCAGCCCCACTGCCCCCCCGCACCCCCTCGCCCCAAGTCCTCTGCCCCAAAGCGGCCCCTCTCCAGCTTCGGAATGCCAGGCCCTCTGCCTCTACCACCCTCTCCTCCCGATCCCTCCCGCCTACCCCCAAATAAAGGAACCGAAGGTGGACACAGTGTGAATCTTAAATTATTATTATTTCTTCCTCTGGCTTACACCGAGTTGGGGGACAGGGGAAGGGGAGGGGGACAGGAGAGGGGGGATTGCCTCCCCCCCTAAGGCACTGAGTGGAGAAGCCGCAAGGGGGGAGGGGGAGGCCACACTGTCCTCACTCCCTGGGGCTAGGCCCCGGGACTCCCCAGCCCCGGGCTCCCCCATCACCTGAAATGCTAAGATGAGGCCCAGGGCGCCAGGACCTCCCCCTACCCCAATATATTACATCATTACTTTTTAAATAGATACAGGGACTGGTCCCGCTACCCCCTCCCTGTGACCCCCCCATTCTTGAGGGTACCTGGGCAGCTGTGCAAATGGGCATGGGGGTGCACGGGAGGGAGGGAGAGCACCCGACCCCTGAACCTGCCCCTTTTCAGAGGGGGAGGGGCCGTCAGGCCAGGGAGGGGAAATAGTGCAAGGCAGAGCCCAGGCCGCGACGGGGGTCCAGCACCCAGCGAGGAAGGGGACGGGGAGACATCCCACTCCCAGCAGAATTGGGTAGTTAAAAATCTGACACTAGATTCCAACGGACCAACACAGGAGGCTATGTACAGAAGGGGGCGGCGGCTCGATCTCAGAAGGGGGCGGGGGTTCTTCTCCCCGACCCGACCGGACCCAGAGGGAGCCCGGCTGGCCAGGGCCCCTCACCCCCCAGCCTCGGCGAGGGGGCCCGCTGGCCGGCGGGGCGGTGAAGTGGGGGCACGGCCGCCAGGTGGCGCCGGCTTCCCCAACCCCTCGCCCCGTCCCACGCCCCGCGCCGCGCCAGCCCGGGGGCGGCGTGAGTCAGGGGCGGCAGCGGTGGTGGCGGCTCGGCTCGCACCTGGGCGGGGAGGGGGGGGGGGGAGGAGGAGGGGAGGACACCGCCCAGCCCGCCCTGCCCTCTGGCCCCGGGGAGGGAGCGGCGGGAACAAGACATTCCCTGCCTGGGGACTCGGGAGGGGAGGGGAGGGCCGCGGAGGAGAACAGCCGAGCGAGCGAGCGGCACCCCTAGCTGGGCGGGGCCCCTCCCGCTGCCCCCAGGGGCAGGCGAGCCAATCAGGCCACCCCGCCCCCTTCTGCTCCAGGACCCCATGACTCAGCGCCGGGAGCAGGGCGGAGGGGGACTGGGATGGCTCCTTCCTTACAGGCCCAGTCCCCTGGTCATTCAAGCTTCTACCTCGCTTTCCGCCACCTGCCCTTCCTCTGCCGCCCCCCCTTGCATAATTCACGGCCAGGAAAAGGGAACAGAAACCAGGAAGGAGGGGTCTCAGAAGGGAGGGGCAGTCCTTCACCCCCTTACACAGCCAAAACCCCAAGGGGCATGGGGGCAGGGCAAGGCTTTGGTCCCAAGCCCCCCAACCCCTAGAAACCCGCATAGCCGAAGAGGGACCCCACAAATCAAATACATTATTGCTTCTACTCCCCAGGAGCAGCTGGGGGCAGGCACCCCACCTTTACAATAGAGCTGTAAATATATACATGATATATGGATCACTCCTTGGGAGCTCACCCCAATCTGGGGAGCCTCTGCCCCAAAACCTTCTCATCTGGGGACTGGAATGAGGGCTCTGGGGAGGAGGGCCTGACTTCCGAAGCCGACCCCGGCTCTGCCTGTCCCGATGGCTCCCGCTGCTTGGCATGGGAGGCCCCGCCTCGCGCCGCTCAGGCCTGGCCACTCGTCCCTCTTTAAGAGGACTCCATGGCACCTTCAGCTTGAGGCGTGGTGGGTGCCCCCTCCTCTTCGTCGTCATCAGGGGGCCCCGGGGTGGAGACCAGGGGCCCAGTGGGGGCTGACTGCTCCCAGAATCGAGCCAGAGAGAGGCGGAAGGTGTCCAGGTGGCCATTGGAGAGGTCGAGGTCGGCGGGGGACGAGGCGGTAGCTGAGGGCGGGGGGTAGTGGGGAGGCGCATCGTCCTTGCGTCTGCGCCGCGTGCGCACCTCCAGGCAGTTCTGGCCCTTGAGGTGGCGCTGCAGGTGGTCCTCCTTGGCGAAAGCCTTGTGGCACAGGTGGCACTCGTAGGGCCGGTCCCCCGTGTGCAGGTGCATGTGGTTCTTGAGGTCGTAGCTGTGCAGGAAGCGGGCTGGGCAGTGCGGGCAGGAGTACGGGCGCTCGCCCGTGTGCTTCCGCATGTGGATCTTCAGCTTGTCATTCCTGCGGGGGAGGGGCAAGGTGGCGGTCAGAGTGGGGTCCTGGGCTCCGCCCCGCCACCCACGCCAGGTTCCCAGGCCTTGCCTCACTCCCGTCCCTCGCCATGTTTCCCCATTGTTGCCCCAGCTTAGCGGGCCCAGCCGCCACCTGCCCTGACGAGAGCAGAGCGAGGCGGGAATCTTTCCTGGCCCAGACCCATTGCCCCCCATGCACGTGACCTCCTTTCTCTTGGTCTCCCTATCCTCACTGTAGTACTGCCTCACCCCCTGGATCACCTGCCTCCCCCTCCCTGTGTGACCCCTGGCCCTCCCCTCAGGTCCGGCATCCACCCCCCCCACAGCCCCTGCCCCTGGCGCTCACCGGGTGAAGCGGACGCCACAGACCTCACAGGCGAAGGGCTTCTCGCCGGTGTGGGTCCGCATGTGGCGTGGCAGCTTGCCTGCCCCGTGGATGATCTTGTGGCAGACGGGGCACTCCTGGGGCATCTGGGAGCGGCGCTTGCGCACCAGCTTGTCTTGGCCGTCCAGGCCCGGTGCCAGGGCGTCCTGGTGCAGGGAACTTAGGTAGGCCATCAGGTCAGGGTCGATGGCATCCTCATCTGAGCCCAGCTCCTCCGGGGACAGCGGGGGCCCGCTGCCCTGCGTCAGCCCGTAGGTCTGGGGGTACACCAGCTCCTCTTCCTCTTCCTCACCTTCATAGGGCTCGTAGCCCAGGGGCCCCTCCGGCGGGGAGGCGGTCCCTGTGGGAGGGCTGTAGCTGTCTCCCAGCCCGCTGCCCCGACTGCTGCCCACTCTGCCTGTCGCCTCCTCCTCCTCGTAGGTCAGGGCATGGGTGGGCCCAGCAGGCGCCTCGGGCACGAGATGGTTCGCCCGGGCCTTGGTCTGCAGGAAAGCTTTTCGGGGCTTCCGGCTCCGGCGGGCAACGGGCCGAGGCGGTGGAGGCGGCGGTGGCGGCAGGGGCACCTGCGGAGGGCTGTCTTCACCGTTGGGCACTCCCGAGGCCGTGGCCGTGGCCGTGGCCGTGGCAAAGGCCTCTAGGTACTGGCGGGCTCGCTCGCAGTCGTCCTCGTCCGGGCCGGGAGCTTCCAGGCCGCTGCCCTGCAGGATCTCCACGCAGGCGGCGATCACGCACGGGATCTCCAGCAGCTGGGCGGCCTGGAGCACCGCCGGCATATTGGCGCTGCTGGTGGTCAGGGTGGCCGTGTAGGCAAACTCGAGCAGGGCGCCCAGAGCCTCTGGCCCCACGAAGTCTAGCTCACACACGCCGGTCCCTGCTCCCCCGGCGGCCGGCCCGCCGCCCCCAGCCCCGGGGACGGCTCCGCCGCCACCCTCCGTGAAGAGCTTCTTGAAGTAGTGGCTGCAGGCAGCCAGCACGGCCCGGTGGGTGCGGTACTCCAGGCCTCGCGTCCGGATGGTGAGGTCGCACAGGTGGCCCAGCTGGCGCTGCTCGTTGAGGCAGCTCAGGAGCTCACTGCTGTGGTCCGGGAAGGGAATCCCGATCAGGTCGTCCTCGGGGCTCCCCATCTCTTCCTGCGGGGGGAGCAGAGGGGAGGTTAGGAGCACGGCCCTGTGGCGGGAGTGGGGGGGTGGGGGGTGGCGGATCCAGAGCACAGGCTTATGGATGGGGACCGCATGCCAGATACTTCTGGAAGCGCTTGATACCTGTTTACTCTTCTACAACATCACAAGAATCACTAATGTCACAGACAAGGAACCTGAGGTGTAGACAGGGGAAGTGACTTTCCCAGTGAAGTTACAGAGCAGGGCTCCAACCAACGCAGGCCGTGGGCCCGGCCTGCACTCCGCTCCATGCACTGTGCAGCCTGGGTGGGGCTGACTCTGGCCGCCCCCCTGCTGACCCATCCGCTCCACCTGCCCTCCTCCCTCCCTTTCTGTCCTCTGGAAGAAGCAGGGGACAAGGACAGAGGATGCTGGGCCCCGCTTCAGGCCTCACAAAGAACTGGCTGAGGGACTCTGGGTGGCTCTGGCAGCCGGCCTGTCAGCCGAAGGACAGGACAGGACAGCAGTCTGCGATGGAACCTCCTCACAGCTCACAGAGGGGCCGATGAGATTGCAGACTCGCGTCCGGCCAGGTGCTTCAACTTGAGCTGTCTGCCCAGCACACCGGGCTCCGGGCAGCTCCCAGCTCCTTCCTCCCGGCCCTCCCCCTCCACTGAAAGTGCATGTCCCCTTCGAGATGCCCCCTTGTTGAGGTCAAAAGGGAAACACAGCTCCCAGCACCCCCCACACATACGCTCCCCTCCCCCATAAGGCCAAGGAGCAGCCAGCCTTTGCCTTTGCTGGGGTGTCGCTGGCGCGGGTGCTTCCTGCCCCGCACAGATAAGCATCGTCCCCGCCCCCTCCCCCACTGCCAATAGGCCAAGTTCCAGACCCACCCCTCCGCTACCACCACCTCTCCCTGCCCATTCCTGGCTGGTCAGGGAGCCCCCTCTCCAGAGGTCCATCTTCCGACCTCTGTGCTTTCCCTCTCGAGGCACGGCCTCCGAAGGCTGGTGGTGGGGGACGGGCGGGGGCTGAGTCTGGCCTGGAGATGGGGAGAGCTGCCTCTGGTCCTGGTGCTGCCACTAGCTCGCTGAATGACCTTGGGCAAGTCGTTTTTCTCTGCGCTTCTATCTCCTTAGCTGTAGGAGGGGTGGGGGTGGAAATCCCAAGGGCTCAGCCCTTCAGCCCTGACATTTGGTGGGTCTGGAGCAACTGGAGACTAGCCGGGCCTGGAAAGACCTGGGCTCTCGAGTCAGCCAGGCTCGAGTTTGAACCTTCGCTCTGCGCTAGTTAGCGCTGTGACCTTAAGTAAGTGATTTAATCTCTGGACCTCCTTCCTCGTGGGGACTGTGGGACCCTTCCGATCAACTCCCGGTGTGCTGGTGACTGAGTTAAATGAGACCTAGTGTGGCACCGTGCCTGACGCACAGTAGGGGCTCAGTAAATGTCCTGGCCTTGAGAGGGAGAAGCAGGGCCTCACCTGAGGGCAGATTCCACTGCACAGATGGCCTCTGCTGGGAAAACCCCCTGGGGACAGGTCTGTCTCCCTCCCTCCCTTCGCCCCTAGAGAGTCAGGTCACTGCTAGCCACATGACCTTGGAGAAGTCGCTTCCTTTCTGCAGGAGGCGGGCTCCTCAGCTGCCATGGCGAAGACTAACTTGGAGGACCCCCCGCAGGAGCCACGCTGACGCTCTGCCAGGGCCCTCTGCCGCTCCCAGCGGCTGCTCGGCCCTGGCCACTGATGGGGAAAGGTATTTGGGGGGTGGGGGGTGTTGATGGAGTCGAGGGCCACAGATTTTCTCTTCGGGACACAAGAAAGCATTGTCTCGGCCTGCCTCCCTGCCTGCCACCTTCGCCGACACGCCAGGACCCCAGCACGGACACCTTGAGTGAGCGGCACCCATGTACTGTCCTTGCTTGTGAGCCGCACCTGGGCACCCTTAGAAGGGCCCCCTATTCCCACCCGAAGCCCCCAAACCGCTCCTCTCCCTGGGGCCCAGGCAGCGTGGGAGCTCTCCAGTTCCCTTCGGTTCTCCTGCCTGTAACTTGACACATAGTACAAGTGACCAGTGGCTCCAGGACTCGGGAACAAGCAAACACCAGAAGGGCCGCAGCGGCGGTGGCCACCGAAGCAGCGGTGGGCACCCTCCTGGGCCCGAGTGGATCCTGTCCCTCCAGAGGGAGATGGGCGGGGCTGCCCTCGCTGTCCATTGGCCAGGAGCTGGGCACCCACAGGCACGTGGCTCACCCCATCCCTCTCCCTCCCCACCCATTCCCGCCGCTAAGCCCGCCTCCTCTCTCCCACCCCAGGGCCAGTCCCATAGTCTCTGTGGCAACTTGGTGCGGCGGGGGTGCTGATTGGCTGACCCTGCTGTCAAGTCACAGGCTCGGGCTGGTTCGCTGCTCAGCTCACACAGGGCTTGGGCAAGGGTGGGTGTTTAACCCCTCGGCCCGACTCCAGTGCCCCTGGCCACGAGGTGGCAGTGAAGGGGGTGCGCAGAGAGGACACACGTGGGAAGGGCGGGTATTCACACGGTTTTCTAGCTCCCGGGAAACTCCTCCAGCCCCTACTCAGGGCTCTGGCACCCATGCCAGCTCAGGTGCCACCTGGAACTATGCTGGTGCCAATCAGGCCAAGGGGGCACTCCTAGCCCCATCATCTGGGAGGGGTGCGTGGGGTGGAGGCCTCCCCTTTCCTTCTGCCAGGGTGGGGCACTGGTGCCAGGATGCCCACCCCACCTTGGGCACCCTTCCCACCTCTGCACCCCAGAGGGCTCAGCCCCCGGACGTCCCATGAGGGCGGCCCGTCCCCACCCAGCCCGGCATGCCCCCTCTTGCTAAGACCTTGTGGGCATGGGTGTGTGTGGTGGTTGGGGGGGCGGCTGTGCCAGCGAACCAGGCGAGGTCTGTTCCGTCTGTTTGCCTGGTAGGGGGAAGAACTGGGGGGCCCCGCCCCATCACTCCCCCTTTCCCGCCACCCCCCCAGGCTCCCCTCAGTCAGGCCTGCTAGACCGGCCAAGCCAGTGGGCAGCTCTCTTGAAACTGGGCCCTGAGTCAAGCCTGCCCCGCTTCGGTGGGGGAAGACTTTGGGGTAAGGAAGGCGGGAGGGGGGCAAAGGTGGAGCCCCTATCAGCTGGCCCTCAGTGCCCAGGGCACCTGCCAGGGTGTGTCACCACCAAGAAACCAGAAGGGCCTGGCCCCGGCCCCGGCCCCGGCCCCGGCCGGGAAAGGAAAAGCAGGCCAGGACTCTGCAGGGCCGGGGGGCGCCAGGGCCGACGCTGCTGGCTGCAGCCAGCTGAGGAGCAGGGACACGAGCCCTGAGCAGGGCAGCTGGGTGAAGCTGGCCCCCCTTCCCCACACCCTAGGGATTAGGGGAGTGAGGCTTAGTGTGGGGGGCAGCAGGCGGAACCAGGATTAGCAGCGGAGAAAATAGATATGGGCCTGAGACACAGGCACACAGAGCCCCCCCTCCCAGGCTCCAGGGCCCCCACCTCCAGGCTCTGCCAGGGAGCCTGAGAGGGGCCCGGCTGGGCTTCTCCAGGTACAGCGGCTTGGGGCGCGGGAGGATGAGGACCAGGCTGTGACGTCCTCCTGCCAGGAGTGATGGAGAGACCTGGGCCTCCTCCCGCTGCCCCCCACCTCCCACCCCCTGGCCAGCCACCCCTCCCGTGTACTTCTTTCTCCTTTCTACCCCCCGACTCCCACCCCAACTCCAGCTTCAGGTTCTCTTCCTGTTTTTTTGGAGCTAAGTTTGCACGAAGCCAGAGCTTTGGCCTGTGGCTGGACCAGAGGGGGGTGGGGAAATAGGACGGCCAGTCCAAAGTCCTCAGGGACCCAGGAACCCTAGTTCCCCAGCTTCTCCCACCCCTTCCCAGGGCCTCTGGGGCCCAGGGCTGGAGCCATCGGGACGGCTCGACTGGGAAGGCAGGGCGAGGGGCTGCGGAGAGCCCCTGGCAGGTGCGAAGGGCTGCGGGAGAGGCCGTCCGCCCAGGGATGCCCAAGGCGCTTCGGAGCCGTCCCTTCCCCACCCAGCCCCTCCAAGGCTAGTGCATGACTTCCCCATCCCCCATATGCCGCTTCCCCCCTCCTAACCTCACCGCCCCCAGCACTCACACTTCCTGGGGGCCTAGGCGGGGAAGGGAGACCGCAAGCCACGAAGGGGGAAGGAGGCAAGGGGAGCTGGCTGCTTCCCGGTGCTGTGGGGGTTAAGCCTCTCCTCCCTCAAAATCCCCAATTCCTGGTGCTGCGTCTCCCAACTCCTCCGCCATGAGGGAGACCTCGGTGTGGCCCACGTTTTCTCTCCATGACACCAGCCTGGGCCCACGGCCTCTCGGGCGGCACCAGGGAACCGTGAGGGAGATAAAAGATGGCGGAGGCGGGAATGGGGCAGCTCTCTCCCCCCCAGCCTTCCCCCATTTATCTTGGGGGGACCCCAGCCCGTCAGCCACTGTCCGCTCTTGGCCTCTTTACTTGTCCTCCTCTTTTGACCCCTGGTGCCTTCTCCAACCCTCGTCCCCTCTCCCCTGCTCGTCCTCGGCTTCCCTTCCCCGGCCCTCGCCAGGCCCCTGCCTCCTCCGCCACCCCTGTGTCCCCAGACCCCCTGGGAAGCACCCCAGCCTCTCCCTTCTCCCCGCACCCAGCTCTCTCCCCCAGGCCTCTCCCACCTCCTCCCCGTCGCATCCCTTCTCTCCTGCCCAGGCCGGCGGGTGTAGACAGGGCAGACGAATTAAATCTAAATCGAGGCGCCTGGCCTGCCCTCCGAGGCCTGGTCTTGCCATGGGATGACTGCACCAGGGCACCATGCGCCCCTTCTGGATGAAGCACGGCACCAAAATTTGGGGGCCGGTTGGGGAGGATGAGTGGGGGGTACAGTGGGAGCGGATGTGGGGTGGGGGGGCAGCCTAGGCCTCTGTGCCCGTCAGAGTTTCCAGCCCAGGACCTGCTGGACTTTCCCCAGAGGGTGCCCACTCTGGGCCAGGTAGCCGGGCGCTTGAGCAGACCCTGGCCATCGAGGCTCCCGGTGGGGT